TCGCAACCGTTTGCAACGGCAGCTTTCCGATTTGGCCACACTCTCGTGCGACGCATGTTCCCCAGAATGAATTACAACTACAAGTTTGTCTCAGGCGTTCATTCTTCTCTACATTGCCTTATCGAGAATCTTTGCAGAAACATGAGTGAACCGGTAGACCTCGCAAACCATTTTGGGCATGTTGGTCCAATATACGACAAGGAATCTGGCGGTCTGCTTATCTGTCACCTTAGCGCCCAATTCAATGATATGAAAATAATTTAGGCATGGATTCCATGCTCATGGGTCTCTTAGGAACACCTTCAATGGCTTTCGATCGTCATATCACAACAGCTTTAAGAGATCATTTGTTCATGCGAAGAGGGGAAGAAAAAAGTGGCATGGATCTGATTGGTAAGTAAAACTCTGCTTATAATTTAGTTATCCACCACAAAGAGATGCACAGTCACATCAAAACTTTCGTTTTCAGTTCTCAATATCCTTCGAGCACGTGATCATGGTGTGCAACCGTACAATGATTTTAGAGAATACTGTGGCTTACGACGAGCAAATAGATTTGAAGATCTAAGGGTAAATCTCTTCTCTTTTTTTCGAAATATACTAGAGCAGCCTTTATCCTTCCAAATCGTTCGATTTCAGCGCGAAATGGATGCTGATGCCGTTGCGGCCCTACAATCTGTATACGATTCCGTCGACGACATCGATCTGTTCCCTGGCCTTGTCAGCGAGAGACCTCTCAAAGGCGCTCTGGTTAGTGCTTTCACTAGGTTCTTCACGAATAACTCAAGCAAGTTTCTAATGAGAAGATTTAGCTTGGACCAACAATGTCATGCATTCTTGCTGAACAATTTGGACGTCTCAAGAAATGCGATCGGTTCTTCTATGAGAATGATGGCGTTGCCAAGTTTAGCCCAGGTTTATACTCATATAATTAGACAAATTCTATATTCAGAAACTAAAAATTACTATTTAGCTCAACTAAATGAAATTCGTAAGATCAAGTTATCATCGATATTATGTGCAAACAGCAGGTACCTAAGAACCATCCAACCAAATGTCTTCGACGTGCCTGATGACCTCATGTAAGACTCGATTATTTGACCTTTACGTCAGATTTTTAAACGGAATTGCATTTGCTAAAAGAACCTTAAGCCTATTTGCATGGCAGACATATGACAATTTGATGCTATCCATTTCCTAAGACGTTTCTAAAACTCCTTAGCATATCTGAGTTCTTATGATTCCAGGAATGCTCAGGTGCCTTGCTCAGATATTCCACAAGTAGATCTTTCACAATGGAAGGAACGAAGTAAGTCCTACTATATTTGATTACCTACTTATTTTCTGATTATTAACAAAATATCAAATGAGAGTCGAGTATTTTCAAAATGCCTTTTATAACACAACCCAGCTAATTTTAAATCTCTTGAGGCCGTATATCCTAATTGTACAATACCGATTCACATCAAAATTTGTTTTCAAATTATTACGCGATTGTTGCGATTACTGAATCCCTTCAAATTTCTTGCAAGTACATATGAAGGATGGTAAATGGTAAGGTAATGCTTCCATTATTATGCTAGACTAGACCTTAAAGCTCTACAAGCAAGAGAGTGGCAAGGATGTAATTAAGACACTTAGATTGCAAAAGTTGTAAAAAGCCACAAATTATCTTTATTTCAGAGCACTGCGAGATGAATGGGCGAACGATTCCTATGGGAGAGTCAACACATATTACACCATGCGTTACATGTACATGCACACATGATGGAGTAAGTACACCTCATCGTTAAACAATTTCCTCAAGAATAAAAAGGAAAAGCTTTAACTTTTTGAATGGTCGGCATATGTTCACTTTAGATTTTGATTTCATTAAATGCAGACCCGGAAGCGACTTCGCGGTATCCAACAATGTACCAATTTTTTAATGATCCTAAAAAATTGCACTAGGCTAAACTCTAAAGCTGCACTTATTTTCTCCGTTGTTACTTAAAAGTCAAAACTCATGAATATTGTAACAGTATCAATAATTTCCAGATAGCCTGCAATCCGGCTAAGGTGGATAGCTGCGAGAAGCTTTCACATAGATACTTGCTCAGTGATATCTCAAAGGTAAGGAATACACTTAGAAGAAAAAAGATGATCACAACATTTACAGGATACATCTTGTATGATCCAGTGTTCGGACCTCATGAGACACAAGTGATAAATTATGTTAGAATTTTAAATTAATTTATCTAATAGAGTGCAATTATAAATATGTACATAATAAAGTTATCAGAAACTTTGACACTTTTTTTTCTGCAAAAAAAA